CTTCTAGAATAGTCCAGGTGAGTGATGGCACTCTGGGCTGGGGTGGTAGGAGAATAGAAAGTAGAAAAAGTTGGCTTGGTGTTTCAGAGTAAGAACCAACAGAAGCTGCTTGTGTTTTGTATGTGAGGGGTGGAGAGGCATTAAAGAAGGTGGCTGGTTTTATGGCCTGGGCAACTTGAAAATAGATCAGCCAAGCTTTGGCATCAACTTACAGGAAGCCTCTGGGCATGTTATTTCCCTGAACTTTTGTCCTCTCTTCTGTTCAGGCCATCTATTCCTTGTAAGGTTGGCAAAGCTCATTGTAAAGAAAATCTAGAGGAAGTCCCCAATAAACGCAGCTGCTCTCCCTTGTGTCAATGTCCCTGAACAGATCTGTTCATTTATTCTCACTCCCCCAAGCTCCTGCAAGCCCCCCTTCCCAGGGTGGGTTAGGTACCCTGATACTAAAATTCTGCCAGGTGTATTCTGGTGAGTCTGTTTTCAATCTGTCATCTTCTGTCCCTCCTCCTTATTCCATTCCCCCTAGTGCTATGCCTTTGGCCTCTCATGATTTGGACAACTAGCCATCCCTGGGGACTCCATCTGGCATTCACCTGTTGTGCTCTGGGTCTACGATCTTAGATAAGTAGTCTGAGTCAGAGTCCTGTGACAAATCTTCTAGGCCATGAGAGATGGGGTCCTGATAACTCCCTTTATAGTTGTTAAGGATTCAGTTAAGTCCTTTAAAGAGCCTAGCACTGAACATAAATGCTGATTAAATATTAATAGCTATTAATTTAATTTAATTTAATTTTATTTTTTTTTTTGAGACAGAGCCTCAAGCTGTCCCCCTGGGCAGAGTGCCGTGGCATTACAGCTCACAGCAACCTCCAACTCCTGGGCTCAAGCGAGTCTCCTGCCTCCGCCTCCCAAGTAGCTGGGACCACAGGCGCCCGCCACAACGCCCGGCTATTTTTTGGTTGCAGCTGTCATTGTTGTTTGGCGGGTCCGGGCTGGGGATTCAAACCCGCCACCTTAGGTGTACGTGGCTGGCGCCTTAGCCGGTTGAGCTATAGGCGCCGAGCCTATTAATTTTATTAATATTGTCTTTCGGTCTTCCTGGGTCCTGCTATGTGTGAGTAAATCAGCAAACAGTGTGAGGTCCACTTCTGGCCAGGCCATGACCCCTCCCCACCAACTGTTAGAGTAACCGTGTGTGTGTGTGTGTGTGTGTATGTGTGTGTGTGTGTATGTAAACACTTTCACTTTGGCAGAACCCATACTCAGTGGGTAGGGTGCCCGCCACATACACTGGGGCTGGTGGGTTCAAACCCAGCCCAGGTCAGCTAAGCAACAACTGCAACAAAAAAAAGCTGGGCATTGTGGTGGGTGTCTGTAGTCCCAGCTACTTAGGAGGCTGAGGCAAGAGAATCACTTAAGCCTAAGAGTTTGAAGTTGGTATGAGCTGTGATGCCATGGCACTTTACCGAGGGTTACCTAGTGAGACGCTATCTCAAAAAAAGAAAAAAAACATTCACTTATAAATTTTGTAAGACACATATTTTATAATACAAAAATGTAAAAATATGCCATAACTTAAAACTCCTTCCCAGTGCTTCTTTTGCTCTTTTAGTATTTAAAAAAAAGCCCAGCCTTATCTTTGTTATTACAATAAACTAATAATATGAAATTTATCATCTTAACCATTTTTCAGTCTAGAGTTCAGCAGTATAAATATCTGCACACTGTTGTGCAACAGATATCTGGGACTTTCATCTTGTAAAACTAAAACTCTATACCCCCTGAACAACTCCCTTTTCCCTCTCTTCCCAGTCCTTGCTTGGTAACCATGATTCTTTGTTTCTAAGATTCTTACTACTTTAGACACCTCATGTAAGTAAAATCATATGCCATTTGTCTTTTTGCAACTAGATTCTTTCATTGATCATAACGTGCTGAAGAGTCATTCATGTTATAGCATATGACAGTATTTCTTTTGTGGCTAACGAACATCCCATTGTATGAATATGCTACATTTTTCTTTATTCCATTTATCAGTGGACATTTGCACTGCTTCTACCTCTTCACCGTTATGAATAATGCTGCCGTGAAGTTGGGTATGCAAGTATCTTTTCAAAATCCTGTGTTCACTCTGGGAGGAGGAGGCAGGTGAATGGCTTGAGCTCAGGAGTTTGAGACCACCCTTACCAAGAGTGAGACCTTGGCTCTAAAACTACCCAGGTGGTTGTGCCTGGTGCCCATAGTCCCCAGATACCAGGGAGGTTGAGGCAAGAGGATCACTTGAGCCAAAGTTTGAGGTTGCTGTGAGCTATGAGCACTCTATCCACAGTGACTGAGTGACACTGTCACAAAAAAACCCCACAAAAGATTCTGTTTTCAATTTTTTTTTTTTTTTTTTTTGCAGTTTTTGGCCAGGGCAAGGTTTGAACCTGCCACCTCTGGTATATGGGGCTGGCACCCTACTTCGTTGAGCCACAGGCACCGCCCAATTTTTTAAAATATATATCCAGAAGTGGGTTTGCTGTGTCATATGATAACTCTATTTTTAACTTTTTGAGGAACTTCTATATTTTTCCTGAACCATTTTAAACTACCATCAACAGCATACAAGGGTTCCAATTTCTCCCCATAATTAATGCTTTTTATTTGATAGTGGCTATCCTAATGAGCCCGAGGAAATATTCTGGTTTTGACTTGCTTTTCCCAGATGATTAACAATGTTTAGCATCTTATATTTATTGGCTAATTGAATATCTTTAGGGAAGTGTCTATTCAAATCTTTTGCCCTTTTTTTTCTTTTCCCCTGGGTTGTAGGATTTCTCTTACCCATGCTGGAGTGCAATGGCATGATCTATAGCTCATCGTAACCTTGACTACTGAGGCTCAAGTGGTTCTCATGTCTCAGCCTCCCAAAGTGCTGGCATTACAAGCATTAGCCACTATGCCTAGTTGGAATTCTCTATATATTCTGAATATTAACTCCACAGCAGATAATATAGTTTGCAAATATTTTCTCCCATTTTGTTTTACTTTTCACTTCTCCTGTGTAGACATTTAATTTTGACATAGGCCCATTTTCCTATCTTTTCAGTGCTGTGGCATCATAGCTCACAGCAACCTCAAACTCTTGGGCTCAAGTGATCGTCTTGCCAAGGCTCATAACTCATAGCAATCTTAAACTCCTGGGTTCAAGCAAATCCTCTTGACTCAGACTTCTGAGTGGCTGGGACTACAGGTGCCTGCCACAAGGCCCAGCTAGTTTTTCTATTTTTAGTAGAGACGAGGTCTCGCTTTACTTAGGCTGATCTGGAACTCCTGAGCTCAGGCTAGAGTCTGGGAGACTTTGGCATCCCAGAGTGCTAGGATTATTATGCGTGAGCCACCTCGTCCTGCCTCTATCTTAATTCTTGTTGCTTTTTTGGTGCCATACCAAGACATCATTGCCAAATCCAATGTCATGAAGCTTTCTCATGTTTTTTCTTAAGAGTTCTATAGATTCAGGCTTGGTGCCTGTAGCTCAAGCAGCTAGAGCCTCAGCTACATACATTGGAGCTGGCCAGGTCAAATCCAGCCTGGGCCCGCCAAACAACTACACCAAAAAATTAGCCGGGTGTTGTGGCAGGCGCCTGTAGTCCCAGCTACTTGGGAGGCTTAGGTAAGAGAATCGCTTAAGCCCAGGAGTTGGAGGTTGCTGTGAGCTGTGATGCCACAGCACTCAACCCAGAGTGACAGTTTGAGACTATCTCAAAAAAAAAAAAAAAAAAAAGAGTTCTATAGATTCAGGTCTTACATTTAGGTGTTTAATCCACTTTAAGTTTTCTAGCTGAGCATGTGGTGGGCACCTGTAGTCCAGCTACTTGGGAGGTTGAGGGAAGAGAATTGGCTAAGCCTAAGAGTTGGAGGTTGTGATCTGTGACGCCACTGCACTCTACCTAAGGTAACACCTGGACTCTGACTCAAAAAAAAAAATCCACTGAGTTTTCATACATGGTGTAGGGTAATGATTCAATTTCAATCTTCTAACCCTTCTTCATTGGTTGAGACCATCCCTTCTCCCCTCTCCCATTTTTTTTTTGAGACAGAGTCTCAAGCTTTCACCTTGGGTAGAGCTCCGCCCTGGGTAGAGCTCTGTGATGTCATAGCTCACAGCAACCTCAAACTCTTGGGCTTAAGCGATTCTCTTGCTTTACCCTCTTAAGTAGCTGAGACTATAGGCACCCGCCACAACTCCTGGCTATTTTTGTTGCAGTTGTCACTGTTGTTTTAGCTGGCCTGGGTTGGGTTTGAACTTGCCAGCTTTGGTGTATGTGGCTGGCACCGTAACCACTGTGCTACGTGCACTGAGCCTATTTATTACTTTTTTGAGAGTCTCAAGCTGTCACCCTGGGTAGAGTGCAGTGGAATCATAGTTCACAGCAACCTCCAACTCTTGGGCTCAAGCGATCCTCTTGCCTCAGTTTTTCTATTTTTTACTAGAGACGTGGTCTCGCTTTTTGCTCAGGCTGGTCTCCACCGCCCGCCTCGGTCTCCCAAAGTGCTAAGGTTATGGGTGTGAGCCACTGTGCCTGGCCTACTCTGGTTCTTTCTTGAAAAACACAGGCTGTAGAAGTGGCCCGGGCCTCCCTACACTGCAAGATTCTTGATGCTAGCTGCAAATCCTGCTCATCCTCTGTATGTTTTCTAAAGCAGGTGCTATTAGCTCTGTTTTATAGATGAGGACGCAAAGGCTGAGTCCAAATGTCCCCTGCAAGATCGTATAGTGAGCACATAGATAGAGGGTGGGTTGGAATTAAAGACTTTCCTCAAAATCTCATAACACCCTGGGGATTACTCTCTGCATCAACCCCAGAACGTCCAAAAGAATGAATGAACGTCTTAGGCGCTGTGCCCACCTCGCAGCAAACCCCGGAGCTTGGACAAACCCATTGCTTCAAGCAGGGGTGCATGCCCGTCTGGCGCATGCGCAGCCCCAGGGCACCGCCAGCTTCCTTCCATCTGGCCGCTCGTGGAACATCCCGCCTTCCCCCCTGCGCCCGGGCCTGGGTGGTACGCGCTGCCTCCGCTTGCTGCCCCTCCCCGTCGGTTTCCGCGCGAAAAGCCCGGCCGCTTGCGCTATCTCTGCTTCTGCTGCAGCCTCTGAGATGCCGGCCCGCACCGCCCCAGCCCGGGTGCCTGCGCTGGCCTCCCCAGCCATCTCCCTGCCCGAGGATGTCCGTAGGCGGTAGGTGCCGTGAGGGATCATCAGACGCGGGGAGGCACGGTGCTGGGGGGAGGGGGTCGTTTCCCCTTGAGGTGGTCGGTGGCCGCGGCTGACAGGAGGGCGCGCATGCGCAGGGTAGTGCGGCGCGCACTGGTGCGTGGCGGCGGTTGGCGCGGGCAGGGTGGCACTTCCGGTCGCGCGCGCACCGGCCGTTTGGCGCCAAAATGGGCCGAGGCCCCTCGCAGCAACCTGGTGACTAGAAACTTGGCAAGAGGGTCTTTTCTCACCCCTAAATAAAATAAGCTTTGGGTTCATCTCTAGGGTCCCCTTCACCAAATAGCCGCTGGTCGGGTTACTACCTCCAGCCTGGCCACACAGGAAGTGGACAGCCCGCGGCCTCCGGACACCTCTTGGTCCCTGGCACTCCGGCCTCCAGTTCCGGTGCCTGGCCAGGTCACCTGGGGTATTCAAGGGGTACCCCGGTGTCTCTGAGCTGCACGTCCCGATGGCGACCTCCAGAGATGGACTTGGCCGGTCGTGGTTAGGGCTCGGGTTCGGCCGGCTCAGGTTTGCGAGCCCAGTCTTTTATCGGGGGTGCCCTCCTTTACCTGGGACTGTGCCCACTGGGAAAGTCGGATTCTGGAAGGAACTTTCACCAGACAGCGCAGGGTCAGGGCCCGGACAGTGTGAAAGTTTAGTGGTCTTTTAAAGAAATCTGTGCCTGTGAGCTACTAGCATCCAGGAAGCCTCGTGTAGGGAATTGTGAGGGATGGTGGCTGATGTCGGGGTCCCTGCCTATAGCAGTTCATTCCTCTGTGGGACTTCTATGCACAGGAGTGGGGTGGGAATACTGTCCCCAGCCTCTTGTTCTTGAAGGGCGTCAGTTCATTTCTGAAAACTTGTGCCAAGTGAAGTGTGCATCAGTCACAGCAACCCTGATCAGGCCTGGATGATTTCAACCGGATTTGTGAAACCACTTTTGCCATCTATTTCCACTGGCTTCTGCCAGGCCAGTTCTGATTTGGGCTTTGGGGGCTGGAGTGGGTCAGATGTCTTGATAAACATACCTGTACCTGAATCTTCCCAAGATATAACTTAAAATGGAAATAGAATTAAGAAAGTACAGGGCTTCATGATGATCCCCCAATTCATAGAAGTTTGGGCCCAGCCTTGAGACATGGCCTTACTCTGTCTGCTGAGCTAGAGTACGGTGGTGTCATAACTCACTGCAGTCTGAAACTGCTGGGCTCAGGTATTCTTCCTGCCTCAGCCTTCTCAATGGCTGGGACTAAGGCGCCTGCCACCACACCTGGCTAATTTTTCTATTTTTTGTAGAGAAAAGGCCTTGCTATGTTGCCCAGGCTGGGCTTGAACTCCTGCCCTCAAATGGTCCTCTCATAGTGCTAGGATTAAGGATTATAGGCATAAGCTACCATCCTGCCTAGCCTAGCCTTCTTGATAATTCTGCCTCTGCTGTCTTGGCTGATGGCCTTGGACAAGCTAATGCTGCTTCTGCATCTATGGGCTAGGAAAATGGCCTTTCAATTGCTATTGGCCCATAAAGTCTTATGTGGTAGTGGCTTACTTTTTTTTAGTTCTAATCAGTCGTTAATTATCGAACATTTTATATTACTTAATTGCAGTGAGTTTTGTTGTTGAGACAGTCCTATCCTATGCTTTGAGCAGAGTGCAGTGGCATCATAGCTCACTGCAACCTCAGACTGGGGCTGTCTTAGCCTCTGGAAGCCGCTGGAATTACACTGGGCCAGGCTTTTCCATTTATTTTTTAGGAGTCGGGGTCTCACTTATGCAAGTCTTGAACTCCTGAGCCCAAACAGTTCTCCCTCCTCAGTCTCCCACAGGTCTGGGAATACGGGTATGAGCCATAGCGTCCGGCTGTAATGAGTTCTTAAAAGTGGCTGCTGGCTTGGTGCCCATAGTTCAGTGGTTAGGGCTCCAGCCACATGTACCAGGGCTGGTGGGTTCAAACCTGGCCAGGGCCTGCTAAACAATGACAACTATAACAAAAAAATAGCTGGGTGTTGTGGGTGCCTATAGTCCCAGCAACTTGGGAGGCTGAGGCAAGAGAATCACTTAAGCCCAAGAGTTTGAGGTTGCTGTGAGCTGTGATAC